TCATCTTAATAACAAAGTGCCAAGAAGTAAAAAAATCCGTGAAAAAATCCAAAAAAATAAAAAGTCCCCGAAATGCACTAAAATGCAAGATTAGGTCCTAAAAAATGCTGCCAAGTGAATACTTTGTGTTTTAAAGTCCAAAAAGTATTTTTTATGAATATTTAAAAAATCACCCAAAACGCGCCTTACTATAGCCTTACCATCGTGAAAAAATCCAAAAAAATAAAAAGTCCCCGAAATGCCTTAAAATGCAAGATTAGGTCCTAAAACATGCTGCCAAGTGATTATTTTGTGTTTTAAACTCCAAAAAGTATTTTTTATGAATATTTCAAAAATCACCCAAAACACGCCTTACTATAGCCTTACCATCGTGAAAATATCCATAAAAATAAAAAGTCCTCGAAATGCCTTAAAATGCAAGTCTAGGTCCTAAAACATGCTGCCAAGTGAATATTTTGTGTTTAAAAATTTTTTTTCAGAAAATTTGGTGACCTAGGTGGTCTAGGTGACCCTAGACAAAGACATATTGGGTCCCCGTCATTGGTGTGGAACCCCAGGGTTAACCTCCTGGGCAAGTTCGATTCTCGGTTAGGGCGGTTGGTACCTTCCAGACATTTAAAAAAAATAAATCTTTTTTTGAATTTTAAGGATGGAAACATGCATTATTACATTTTTCAAGGCAAGTTAATCTATTTTATTCATTTTACATTTTATTTTTTTAAGGCAAGGTAGTTTATTTTATTCAGTTATATATGTATATATTTATATTTTTGTATATATGTATGTATATAAATACCGCAGATTTAAAGTATACATCAAAAAATTAGATCTTAGTTCAATTCTGGCTTTTGTTTTGTTAAAACATTTTTTCAAAATGTAAGGTATTCTTTGGTAAATTTGATTAAAATATTGCCTCCTTTTGTGTCTATTTTCTTGACTACGGTTATATTAATTCTCTTTTGCCTTTTTTTGTTCACCATCAAGCAGGAGTTCCTGATGTAACCTGGTACTTTGGAATTAGATGATTGACATAAGAGTGCATTTAAACCAGCAACCCACTGATACCCATCCATAGTTGAAAGTTAGGATACCCAGTTTACAATGCATCTCACCCCTTTACCAAAAACCCCTTTCTCTCTCTCTTTCGCTCTCATTAATTCTGAATTTGGACAGCAGCTCACCCACACACATTCTGATTGCACATAAATACTTTTAGTGGTCAGTCTTTTAATTTACAGAGATTTAAACTGAGGCCTGCAGACTTGCTGACCTGACTGACCGTGTGTGTGTATACACATGCTAAGCGTGCTGATTGTGATTGTTGTATAATGATCATTCCTCTGCTCCTGTCCCCAGCCTCGGATGAAAGCAAACTTTGTCATCCTCGATCATATATTTTCCTTTTAAATGAGAGACGTTGGCTGGTGACCTGCTGCGCACCCCCCTCCTCCTCCCGTACCCTCTGTCTGCTGTCTTACACCCCTCCCCACCAATATCCACCTCATAAATAGCCCTGACTTCCTCATAACAAGCTGGATTCTCATAGATCTCCATCAATTTGTGTCACACCAGGGATTCCCTGAACAAAGACGCTTTTGCCACATCACCCACAACATCTATGCATTATTAAGGCAAGAAAAACAGCTTGTAAAGTGTCTGCCGTGGCCCTAGTTACAGAGCTAAAAGATATGAAGCAGAGCCAGAGACAGGAAGACAAAGGACAGATAAAGACATAGCTGCACATGTGCTCGTGCATTTCTCCACGATGATGATGATGTGTCTGTTAAGCGAAAAAGCTTGCTCCACTGCTCTCTATACTGTATTCATTAAAGAGATTTCCCAAGATGCACCTCATCCAAGAACAGCTTACATCAGTGTGCATGGCACTGATGTAAGCTCCAAATGGCACCACTGTACTAAAATGCAACATGTCAGAGCAAAAGATGGTAGCGTCAGGGCTAAGAGCTCTTAGAAACACTGCTGTTCACTGCATCATACATTTAGACCAGCATAATAATAATAATAATAACTTCAATTAATCACGATTTTTACATCATTCATTTCAAATATATATTAATCGTGTTTAATTTCGCATGTTGAGTTTTGTAAACACACCTGCTGATCCAGATAAGCTTCGGTCTGCCGTACTCCGAACTCCTTGCAGTTAATCCATGTGTTGTTGTTAACAGCTTGCGTTAATAAAAAAATGTAAAAAACACTTTTTTAACTCTCTGCATAAACACAGAAATACCAACAAAAGTGAGCATAAAAATATATCAAAATGCTTGATGACTACGGATTCGCGATCGTGGTGTGTATCTTAGTTAGCGTTACTTCCTGAATCATCAGATCCATCAGACACTCAGGTGCGTTCCGTCAGGTCATTGACGGAAACCCTGACAACTTACAATAAAAATGTGACTTTTTCTTCCCCAGCGTACCATGATCGCAAAAATGATATAGTAAGGAAGTATTCACTTATCGTCAGTTATCGACATTTGATGCGTTACAGCGGCCCAAAGTTCGTCGCTTGGTGGGCTCGAACCAGCAATCTCTCGATTCAACCTCTAACTGCTGATTCAGATTATTTACAGTTCACCTCCTGGGCAAGTTCGAATCCCGGTTAGGGCGGTTGGTACCTTCCAGTGGCCTCACCACCCGCAGGGAGGTTCAGGGGGTTGGTATGGTGCAGTGTGATTTGGGTGGTGGTCATGGAAACTGCTGCCCCCACGACCTGGTAACAGATAAGTGGATGAAAATGGATGGATGGATGGATTAATCCATTGTAACAAAATCATTTTTTACAGACATATATATATATATATATATACACACACACAAAATGACATAAGTAATACATTCAAATATTCCCTGAGGGAACCAACTCACCTTCAAACTGTGGTCCTGGTCTTGGACTAATCATACATGATTTATGAGCAGGAACCACTCTCTGTGACACTGTAACAAACTGAGAAATCTGGCTCTAATTTAGATCTAATTAAAGCAGGTCAATAGGAAGAAGCTCCACCAACAGAAAAAAAAAAAAGAAAGAAAGAAAAATACCCTAACCCAGAAGATGTTTCATGCTGTATTTAGACAACGAGTTTAATTTAACGGCAGAGCCGAAAGGTCAAGAACTCTAGCAAGTCATCTCCAACTGTTGACATTCAGGATATGACAATGGACAGAGCTCACGGTGATGAAGATACTGTAGTGGAGTCACTAAACCACACTGAAAAAGAAAAAAAAAAGAAAAAAAACCCACAATGTTCTGTCAACATTTACCGCCACTAGATCAACACGATCTTGATTAATCATGATAATAAAGAATCATAAGTAAAAAAATTACTTACGCTTAATCTGATTAAAATTTTTAATAATTAACAAATAACACAGTTATTTATTGTTATTACAATAACATGAGAACAAATAACAAAATCCATAACAAATTACTACCATACATAACCCTAACTCAACCCTATCATTGTTATAACAAATAACTTAATCATAATAAATATAAATGGAATAATATAATAGTTCATGTAATAAAATACCATTTCATAGATATAATATAATAATTGTTGTACAACATGGCCAATGGAAAGGGAAGGGTTTCGTCAAGAAGGACAACGAACATAAAAATCATACCAAAACAATGCAGATCACGAGAAACAAAACATACAAAAATATCCAATAAAGTAAAAAAAGAGGTCTTTCTAACAGTCCTGACACTTTCTGTACTTTCGGTTCTACTGTAAAACTGTAAAAACTGACATTGTATAGTAGTTTTTCAAACATTTTTTAACAGTTTTTAACATTCCCCAAAATGATTCTGTCAACACCCCCAGCATGGCCCTGTCTGCCATGAACACACCTCCCTGAGTTCACAGTGCAGCCTTACCTTCTCAACACTTGCGTTAATAAGATCAAACTCGCCCGGTAGAACCCAACCTTTGTTTTATCTGATGGAGCCGTGAAATGAGATTCTATTAATACCTTAAACCCAATTGGGCTGGCTGGCTGACTCCCAACGGAGGCAGCACTGAAAAGGTTAGGTGCAGCAATTACGCAGGTGGAGTTGCAGAGGAGATGGGGGTTAGGAGGAGATGATTCTGCCTTGATCACTGGCTCTGAACAAGGTGTTATCAGCTGCTGCGGGTTGGTGGCGGTGTCTGCCAGAACCGCGTTAATGACTCGTCTTGTTTTGTGGAGCGAAGAGTTGCCTTTTCAAAGGCAAGGCAATTAGAGGGGGACTTGTTCTGTTGTGTTCGGCTACTGCTGTGACTTAGAAAGGCTGTCACCTACTGGCCAGTCAAATCTGGACGGGAGTGACGGGAATAAATCCCAGACACACACAGCGTGACTAGATGCAGTTCTTTCCCCTTCTTTTTTGCACCCAAACTCTTTAAACACACTGTTTCCCGTCGTTTCCGACCCGATCCACCAAGACGGACGAAAAGACAGTAACGGTTGAATGAATGAACGCAGGGTGACATGTACGCACACTATAGTTATTATATACCTCGGTGTGCTTTGACATGGCAGCCACTCACTGTATACATAAGCTCAGGTGACACAGATAATTGGAGCCTTTCAAATCTCATTATGCTGCCTTGCTCAAAAGAAAAGAGAAAACATGGAGGAACGCTCCCTCTCCCCGCTCCCCAGCCTCTCTTTTTGTCTCTTTGGATTATCCGGTAGCGCAGCAACACACCCACCATTAGTTTTCTGCTGCTGCTGACCCCAGCCATTCATTTAATTGGCTGTTAATTGCTATTCTCTCTACAAGACACAATGTATATGTGCAGCTATATTTAGGCTCGCCCCTCGATGGCTCTTCATGCTAAATTACAACTTTCAGCCAGGCACTGAAGGGCCCCATTGTGGCCTGTCGTTCTCTCCCTCTGTGACTGACTGACAGGCTGGGGAGGGGGGAGACAGACCTCCCTTCCTCCATCCCTCCCTCCGTCTATTCTTTCCCCTTTTCTCTCCTTCCCTCCTTCCTCTTTCATTAGCTGCTGCAAAGTAAGTCTGAGACCTGGATTGGCCTTATTGCCCCCCTTTCTTCCACCGCCAGCTCCCCACCCACCCCTGTCTTTACTTTGACACAACAGCAGCAACTTTTCATCTAATGTCATGAACATCTGAAGACATGACACAGTCCTCGTCCAGTTCTTCTCAGCTTCTGACCGCTGTGGCGTTTTCTGCAGAGTGAAAGAAAGAAACACATCGTCATTTGACTTTACAAGCTCATTCCCATGTCTTTACTTGATGGCTTATTCTTTGGGATTAGTGAAATCAATGGTTTCCACATAACACACCAATGTTTAATTCCTGAAAATCGTTTGGGCTGGTTCTACATGTCTTTTCAGCCGTGTTCAGCAGACCAGCTGTGTCTGACTCATATAGGATTGACACACACACACACACACACACAATGAGGTGCTTGGCCTCTGGTTTTCCCCTTCTTTTTTACATTACATTCATTTGTAAATTCATTGTTACAAATTTTTCAGGAACTTATTAGTATAGTATTTTACTGTGGTCAAAAGTTGGCTTACCAAAAAAGGTGGAGGGAGGGCGCCCGTCTCAGTCACCAGCACTTCCAGGGAATCAGTCGGTCTGTGTGTATTTCAGAAGGGGAGCAGAGGGAGCAGCAGGAGCCGGGAGCAGACGCTGTGTCATCAATGCCAGAGGACTGGGACAAAGGAATGAACACAGACATTTAGATACTTGTTGATATTCTCAGTCATGCAGGTCATCATAACAATGTCAAAAGCAGTTTTAAAAGTAGGCAACTGGACTCACTTCAAGTAAATTGAAGACGTTTCGCCTCTCATCCAAGAAGCTTCATCAGTTCTACTGTCCTGGTGGGGAGAACATTTATGTATTTATGTAGAGCAAGAGAGAGGGATGTTTGTGAGTATTATGGATGACATTGGGCAACTGCTGTCGTCATTTGGTGGAAATCCCACATTACTCACCCCCTCTTCTTCTAATTAGTTCCCCATTTCTCCCTTCTATCTCTTCCATTTTTAACTCTTCTTTTTTTCTGGCGCTCTGTGCCACTGTTTGTCCAGGTTGGACAAAAATGGTAGCAAACAGCAAAGAAAAGCGAGGCAAGAGAGAACGGTGAAAGTACCTGTGGAGAGGAGGAGAGGGAGGGAGGTTCCTGATTTATGGCTCTGACTTTTCATTTGTAATACCTTGATTATCTCTGGGGACCTGGGCGGGAGGGCAGCGAGGAGGTAGAGGGGTGGAGGTCTGAGGCTGGTGAGAGGCCTGAGCAGCTTAATAATGTGTACATGCCCAGAGCGGCGGAGGGGATGTGAGGCAACAAAAACGCTGCCCTCTTAAAATGAGACACAGGGATGCCAGAGCCAGGCAAAGCACTTGTTTCAGCAGATTAAAGCGAGAAAGAGTCCTTGATTTCCCTCTTCCACTCATGGATCATGTGCTTTGTGATGGAGATGATAAAGACTCTAAATGAATTTTCACTTGTGTTGAATTTTCCTTCTGCTTCTCGGGATGTGAATCTTGGGATACAGGCAGAGAGACAAGATAATTAGAGCAGTGTCTTCCTTAATGACAACAGCTATCATTAGTCACAAGTCCCACAGACGCAGGTGTGTCATTGCTAAAACAGAGATTTACATAATTTGCAACGTGTGATAATATTCTCAAGTTTAAAAAAAAAAAAACTTTACACTATCAGAACAAACTGTTTCATTTTAAGCCATGATGCTGCACTTGTGTGAAATGTGACAGATGAGGCTTTTTCTTTTTTTTTCCACCCGTTAAGTGATGTTCCATGGATCAGTCTGTCACTATCACACACACACCAGTGTTGAACACACAAAAGTAAGCTCGGACCAGGAAATAACACCCTTATCATCGCCACAATCATCTTAATAATCATCATCACAATATTCTCTGTTGTTATCGTAATCAGATCTGTGGCTGCACACAAAATGCAGCGTGAGCCCTGGCTCATGATAATTTAGCGCGCTGGTGCACGTACGGTAGCCAGCAGTTCATCTCCACTTTTCACACGGTGCTATTATCCCAGAATATAATACCTTGCTGATTATCCATTCAATGAAGGCGTAGCTACCATAGCTGTTATGATAATAGCATGCGTTGCAGTGATAATCCACATAACCGATGCTCCCTCTCTCTCACAGATGCTAATGATGATAGTGGGTGGTCATATACACAAACAGCATTAGCTGGTGGGAAGCTTCTTCTTCTTCTTCCTCTCGCGGTTCAGTGGTGAACCAGCTGAACGTCTAAATCACTTTAACCCTGGACGGGTCAGGCCCAGACCACAGCGGGTCGGGGGCCAGGTTACAGACTCACGTGACTTCTCCGTGCACTCAGGATCGTATCAGCAGCGCTAATTAGCTCATTTAAGTGGATTGATTGAGTTAAAAGCAGACACCTGTTTACCCTACGGCTTTCTAATATGCTGCCATGACAACAGCCGAGGACCCTCTGTCTGTGTTAGTCACTCTTCTTCTTCTCAATCTCTGCTGTCCGTGCACACACCTCCTGCCTGGTCTTACAACCCAACTACCATAGATACATACTGTAAAGGAATTTACATAACAAATAAACCTGATCCTAATAATAATTATTGCAGCAGGTCACTGGTGATGGACATCTGGATTAGACATGATGTCCGGACGAGGTTCAAAGTCCTTTCTTCTTTTTCTTCTGTCTCATAAACCTTCTCTTCCAACTCCTCTGCAATCACTAGCCTCTAAAGCAGGAGCAGATGTACAGTATATGAAACAATCTAGTACTTGTGGACTATGGCATTAAAACTGCAAACAGAGCGCCCCCTTGCAGTGAACAGTGGGATGGTCGAGGCTTAACCTTTTCAGAAATTGATAAAAATGCCTTATGTGACACATCTCTCTCTCTCGCACACACACGCACAAACACACACACAGTCAGACAGGTCTGCATCCATCTGCAGTTGCTGAGGTAAGAAGATCACGTTTTCCACTCAGTGGAGCACAAGTCTGCTCACCTCCTCATGGTCCAGCCAGCAGCACCTGTGTGTGTGTGTGTGTGTGTGTATTCCTGCAGGTGTGAGCATGTATTTATGTCTGCCTGTGACATTTTTGGTCCAGAGTGGAGGAGGCTTTGCAGGTGCACATCACTTTTCAGTAAACCGCGGGAGGATGATGATGATGATGATGATGAGGATGATGATGATGATGATGATGTAAATTGTCACTTCTTATCCCGGTTGGTGAATCATGGGTCAGATTTCCCATCGAAGGAGCTGCTAACAGAGATGGTGCTAATTGGGGGGAGGTGGGTGGGGGTAATTAAATGCACTATTTTCGATGGGAAAAGCTAAATGTTGGTCTCAGCGTGACACAGACGGGTGCAGGAACTGGACACACGGATGGAGAAGGAGGACGACTTGCGTCTGCTCTGTTAAAAGTGCCCAGAGTTTGCCTTCATCGCTTTATTTCTCCTCTTCTCTGCTCTTCCTTTTCACACTTTGCGTCCCACGACAGTTGACCTACAGTACGACGTGACGGCCTCCCTCTGACACCTATTTACATATCTCCATTTTCTTCATTTCCTGTGTTGCCTCCCGATGCTACCCTGTAGCTCTCCTTTGTTACAGAAGTTGTCAAGTCTGTACTTGCACTTGGAGTGTCTGTTTTGTTGACCTGTCACATTTCTTCGTCTACTACTCCTCCTCCTCCTCCTCGTCTCAGATGCTTTTCCTTTCCCCCAGACTCTCTTCCTGGCTATTTGTTTCTTCCCCTGACTCTGGCAGACTCATTATCTTTGTGGAACAGCACTGTGCGTTCGTCAGCAGCGATTAGCAACGTCTCACTTGAACATGCTTAAAGGAGAGACAGTTTGATATTTGACGAAGGGAGATATGGCATTCTCTAATCTTAAACAGCATAACTGTGTCATAGTAGATAGAGGCTTTGGTTAAGATTCCTATAACATTAAGGCAAACATTGGTCATAATTCAATTAATGTAAAAAAAAAAAAAAAAAGAGATACAGACAAAAAGGACTGAGGCGGGGAAAAGGAAACATTTGCCTCATTAAATAAAAAGAAATCAACTGGATTCATCTTGCTGAGGTCTCAGAAGTGATGAAGTGCACAAATGGAAAGATCTAATGAAAATTCTTGCAGTTAACATAATTAATTTGCAGCCCTTTTGATATGTGGTAATGACTTGGAGATTATTGGTTTAAATGAATTGTTTTGTTGTACAGCTGCAGGAGAAGTTGATGAGGAGGGGAGGGGGACGGGGAGGAGGGAGGGGGAGGAAGCGCTAGTCTATTTCCAAAGTTCGAATGGAGATGAAGCAATGTTTTTAAAAACACAATAAGACAATTAGACTCCTCTATAAACTAATTACTGCTGCTTTAATTCCTCTTCAGATTAAACTGCAATTGTAATAAGAGGATGTCTCATGGGAGGAAGACACATTTGCAATTAAAGGTGGAATAAATGTTTCTTTTTTTTTTTACCAGTGAACAAATATTTGTACAAGAGATAAGGATGCAGACAGCCACTCCGAAGACACTCGTCTCTCCTTTTTTTTCTCTCCCGTTTTCCTCTCAAGTTCTGCTGTCAATAAACAAATAAAGTGCGAAAAAAAGAAACTGAACAGTGGCCAACGAACAGGAAATAAGCCGGTCAGCTATACAACGTGTTTACATGAACACCGAGAACCGCATCAGTCACAGTGAAACTTCAGAAGTATTGTACCAGAATTACAGGTGACAGACATGAGATAAAAATAAAAATAAAAACAGAAGGAACAAAGCCAGCAGTTTTAAGTAAATAGTAACTAGACAGTAATTACTTGTAAACAATGCACCAAACACCGGTTGTTTTTTTTTTGTTTTTTAAGCTTTGAGACGTTTAAAAAAATCACCCAGTCTGTAATGACAGGTTTCCACTACTAGTAAATGTAATTCAATTCACATGGGTAAATATCAGAAATGAGACAGGGCAATAATCTAATCTGGGTGAGAAGTAAGGCACTGGAGAGTGAAAAAGAAATCTTATCGTCTTCTCCTTCGGCGTTATTAATGTGAGAAAAAAAAAATGGTAATGTTATTATTGCTCCGATTCACCACAGGCTTGTTTTCACGCTGCCGGGTAATGTTGACGATGCCCATTCCGCAGTCAGGCTGTGCACTTTAACAGCATGGCCTCAATGATGGACTCACAACTACTGCACTGGCTCCAGCTCTTTCTTTCTGATCATAATTTGATTATTTTAATGATCCTGTTACTGACACGCTGTCCGAGGCCCGACAAGACGCAGTTGTGTGACTGGCCATGTGTGTGTGTGCGTGAGGATACATATGTGTTTGTGTCATTTTCCGCAAAACAACGTCCAAGCAGCACTGACCACAGCTTCACTGCCTCTGACAGACACCAAAAAGGTTATGGAAAAGTTTTTTTTTTTTTTTTCTGCAAACAGCAGCTCAGTGTATTATCAGTCAGACGCCACAGCCAGAAGCGCTTAATTGTGGCGTTTCATCATCGCCCATTGAATTATCGGGATTAATTTAACGCATTTAGGCCTTTGTATTTTCCCCGAGCTTGCAACTCTCCCATCTCTTTGTTAGCAATGATTACACTAAGTGGGTCATGGAGTTCTTCTTTATTCTTTTTTTCCCCCCTTTTTTTTAACATTGCATTAGTGTCTTAAACTCTTTTAAGCAAATTCGGCAAAAGATATGAAAATGATTTAAATGTTGTGATTCACTGTGGGTGAAAGCCTTGAAAACAGGAGGTTGACTCAGAGAGTGGAGGAGTTGAACTAGACGTTTATAAACTCACCTTTCATTTTATTTTACTTTGCCGCACACTTTACAGTATCTGAGTCACACAAGTGTGTCGTCGTGTGTGTGTGTGTGTGTGTGTATGGGCTTTGGCCTGTATTGGCCTGCATGGGCGTCGCTGGTCGATACGACTGACAAGGCTGAGTTACAACATAGTACAAGTTTTCCCGGGAGCAGATAGAGCGAAGTAGACGGGGTTATTAATTACCATACTCTGGTGATGATGAGAGAGACTACAGCATGTTACTCAGATTCATCGCAAATGTGTCTGCTGAGCGGTGAGGTTTTTAACAGTGATAAAGAGAAAACAGACGGTTGCCGTGGTAACGACAGCCTAATCTCAAGAGTGTTGCTGGCTTTGGTTTTTATCATTTATTTTGAAGAAAAAAAAACTGCTCTGATTTGAAAAAAATAAAGAGATGAATCTGCTACTTTTTTCCTGTCGGTGTGTGTGTGCGTGTGTGTGTGTGTTGGGATTATTCATCCACTCTCTGACTCCTGTTACCCAATCTCACCCACCGGGGAGACCGACTGAGCTTTTGCTGAGAAAACTCACAGATAGGAATATGGCTGTTAAGTCATTAGGCAGCTCATTAGCACGTAGCTTAATTGGTGTCTAATTGATCCTGGATGTTTTATAAAGCTGTGAACCTCCGGGGTGTGTGACAGCACACGCAGACTCTCAGGAGAGCGGTGGAGTCAGCGAAAGTCTAGGAACAGACTCGCAGTGTCGATACAGCAAATCACTCAGCCGAGGGTCGTGCGCCCGAGTTCTCCATTCAGCTTTGATCAATAGAGTCCAGTAAAGTTTTAGAAAGTAGCAGAATATCACAGAGTGCTGAACTTTAATCTGAGCCCTGTTCCAACAACTTATCTGTAACGCTCCATTTTAGAGTTGGGGTAAAGTGCAAACATTAATCTTCAATGGAGCCGTGACATACGGGGAGCAATTCAAACAGTTCTGAAACAAATATAATAGTTGAAAAAAAAAGAAACCTGTTGGGACATGTCTCTGAGGCGTCTCAAACAGTTTTGACAAGTTTGAAAACATTTTCAATTTTAGTTTCTTCAAACTGAATCGATTATTGACTAGAATCAAGAGACAAGAAAACTACACAATTGAAATTTCGAGTCTAAAATTGGTTTTCTTTATATCAAACGCTATTGTGTTTCACAGGGATACAGGAAGCCTGCCTCGGAAACGGAGAACAGAGAGTCCTGGGTTTGATTCCCAGAGGAACCACATTCTTGATTGTTAATCCTCCTCTTTTAAGTCGCTTTGGATAAAAGCATCTGCTAAGTCTAAACAGGCAGGCCCATCTAAAGTGAAGGAAGAACATTAACATTTATACATTTATGTTATCTTATCTATTTTTTACAGCTATTTTATATATTTATAATATATATATATATTAGATTCTTTTTTAAATACTGTATTTCCTTCAGATTTCATGCCTGTTGTAGTGGCTACTAACTGACAGATCAATCTACTAGAAAGTAATTAATAGCTGCAGCTCTGCTCGCATGACAACCTGTTTTTTTTCTTTTCTTTTACCAACATGTGGGGCCACAGTATCAAAGTCGGGATGAGTTCAAATCTACAACTCGCCCTTTAATATTGTGTCTTCTCTTATTTCTGTACTTGTTGAGCTCTATCGCTGTTGCTTCCCGTCAAGTTATAAATTCCAACTGGCCTGTGAATAATTCACGAGGAGCAACACACACGATTACACAGGTTAAAAAGTAACGATGTGTCGCCATAATAAAAGAATGTACTCCGTTGTTTTACCGAGTGCCTTTCACACGCACGCATGTCGCCGGCCCCCGAGTTCACATGAAAACACATCCTTGTCGCCCCTGACAGGGCACAGATAGGAGCGTTAAAGGGAGAGAAAACAAGAAAACAAAACCCCCGGCCTGTGGAGCAGGTGGTTAGAAAACCGACTCTCCCCCCGCAGCACGGCAGCTTGATCTAGCCCAGGCTACGAGCTGTCACTGGAGGCTTTTCATGTCTGAGCTCGGAAAAGATCAGTAGACTCCCCGTCTGAGCTCGCAGCCCTTTGATAATCGATGGAGCTTACAGTGGTGCTTTGTAAAGACAGCGACCGTTCACCGCCTAATCAAACTGCACTGCTGTCCTCTCTTGTTTGTTCCCAGGACTGTGCAGGCTATTTCCTGTTTGACTTAAAAATGAGGCCTTGTGTTGGGAGCATGTCAGTGTTGACAGCGAGGAGATACATCAGCACTACAAAGCGCCTCCTATCGCAGCTCGAGTACAATATCTGTTTTCAGCGTGTACTTGGAGCAGACGCTAGGAGGCTTTTTACATAACCTGCACTTGCACTCCGCGACACAGTGAAGTCCGACAAAGTCTTTGATTACTAACGGAAAACGCTGTGGTACTTTTTGGGCACTTGTTGGCATTGAGCATATATTAGAAATAACAGCTAAAGAGACAATCAAACACAGGTAAATATATATATATATATATATACGTATACAGAGAGAGGCGGTAACATCCTCTCTGGGAGCTGGTCTGGCCTTGAGTGTTACGAACAGTAGTTGTATCGAGTGAAGGTCAGAGGAAAACAGGAAGTTCTTGAAAAAAAAAACAACAAGTACAAAAACCATACGTGTACATATGTACACAACATCACTGACAATGAAAACCTCGCTGACACACACAATTAAATTTACTGATGGGTTAATAGGAAAAATTGGAAACTAGAGTATTAACTGAAAATCGTATTTACTCTGCAAGATATTTTAGCACTCTCTGTGCCGCTAATCGTCCACATTCTCCAGCTAACGATTGTTCGAAATTAAAAAGCAAACTGAGAAAAATTCCGAGTTAGTAATATTGAAAGCAACAAAGAGACGGAGTGAAAATTAATTTGGGCAGAAAATACCTTCATAACCTACGCACCACTGAGTTAATGAGTTTGACTCACTGGGCCTGGGTTAGGCTGACGATACGAGCTGAAGAGAAATAAAAACAGGACCGTTTGGAGCGTGCGTCAGAAGAACGTGTTAAAATTTACCCCTGTCGTAACATTCAGGATTTCCCCACCTCCACGCTATTTCTGTTGCACAGATGCATTATTCAGTGGCTGTGGATCTAATTAAGTATTGAACATGCACAGATGGCGACCTCCTGTGCATCGACTTGTAGGTAGACCGCGCTGTACGAGCCGCAGCAACCGACCGTGTTTGCAGGTGAACACTGACAACGTGGCTGTTCCTACATGTGGTTCTACAGTGGAACTCAGAGAGAGATGCAAGAACACCAAGGACACACAAACGTGTGTGTATTGTTACTTATGTGCGTTTTATGGCCATTTGTCCGCGTGTGTGTGTGTGTTCATGGAAAGTAATGATTGTGTGCTCTTACTTACATTGATAGATGAAGAGCTCCTGTTCATCTGCTGTCACTCTGAGTTAGATGGATCTAATTAATACGCCATCATGCCAGCGACCTTGTGACATTTCCACTGCTGGCTCCGAACGTTTCAAACACACACACACAAAGAGGGACTGTGTGTGTGTGTGTGTGTGTCTACACATGCACGTTCTCCACCCCTGCAGAAGAAACACAGCACAACATCACAAATGATGTACGCACACAGAGAAGACGACCAGACTAATGGATGAAAGAGTGGAGAACAGATTGAAATAGCAGGAATTTAAAGAGTTCATGTTGTGGAGGCGCACGCTGTTCACTGTGTGTGTGTGTGTGGAATGTGTATGAATGACTTGAGTGTTTTGAGCTAACCAAAGGTTTTGGTCTTACCTACTGTCTGCAATTCCATTCCATGCCTGTGGGGTGCTGCATTCCATTGCCCAGGTTGACAAATTGAGCAAACTGGAAGAAAAACGCCGCTTGTCAGTGGAGCCGTACACCTCAAAGAAAGATGTAAACCCCCCCCCCCACCAAAAAAAAAAACAACCCTCATTTCAAAACAATAACTTAATATTCGCAAATTTTAAATCTCTTCTTTCACATTTGGTGGTTTCCAAAGCGGGGGGCAGGTCCCTCAAAGGAGGAGATTATTTTGGCAGATTGGGCCCAATTGCACAAAATTATTTTTAAATTACATTTTAAATAATATATAGTGGAGTCTTAAAGCAACAAGGTGTGAATGTGTCCACCACAATGGGGAGTGGGGGGGGCAGGGGCTCAGAATAGTCATATCTATACAACGTTCTGGGATCAGTGCATTTTTTTCTCTCAACATCATCTCCCTAAAAAAGAAACTTACTTTTGCTCCATATATCCACTACTATGTTTTTGTATGTAGGATATTACATCGTATCCAGCCTTTAACCTGAACCTAACTAACGTTACAATTCTTGTCACAGCTGCAGCCAGAAGTGTGAAAGAAAATGTTTTAAACCTTCAGTGTTTTTATACATTACAAAGTTTCTGACTGCTCTCGCTCCTTTTTTTTCTCCCTCTCTCTCCTTCTCTCTGCTACAGTCAGTCAAAGGTGGGTGTCACCAGCTGTGATATTGAACCCAGTAATTGGAAGCACAAATAACAACCTCAAAGGTGCACGGTGCTGACACAGATTTGCACAATCTTAGTGAAATCTTTTTACTTTTGATGAAAAATTTAACGTTGTGCAGGCACACGCGCACACACACTTTCACACACATAAACACACACACATATATACCTAGAGAGAGGAAAAAAAAATCTGCCTGCCTATTGCGCTCCTTCTTTTATTGCCATCCATCACTCTCTCCATCGGTCTCCATGTCGACCTCAGCCTCGATTCTTCTCATTTAATTTTGTGGGCTGGTCGGATCAATAGTCTAGGACAAACACGCACACATACACACACACGCCTGTGCACAATCACGCACACTAAAAGCCAGGCAGAAGTAGAACAAACAGTCTAAATGAAAATACTGGGGCCTAATCACAGCGTTTTCACCTAAATGTTTCTCACAGACCTTTGATAAAACACAGACAGACATGCAAAGTTCAGACTGGCTGCATCCGCAGAGAGGGGGCATCAGTAATGGGCTTGATTACCATCCTCGAAATGTGCATGAGCAGAGTGGAGCTGAGGTGAAATGACTTGTGTCACGTCTGGAGGACTGTTAGCTGCTGATGGCCTCATCACACACACACAGCCCCCAGCTCTGCATGGGCCAACTGTGCTTGTCTATGTGCATAAAAATATTAGGAGTTTTTCACTTTTAAGCTTTCCCCGTGTCCAGTCACAGTCTGGACGATTAGGCAGCGTCTTTCTCCAAGCATGAAGAATTCTTATCTTTCCCTGTCACACACACTCCTCGGCGAGGTCAAGGAACAGCCGAACCGATGACTTCATTTTTTACGCTTCCGTCCTTTAAATCAGATCGGATGAGCGTCATCTCCCCCTCACTTCTGTGGTCATGGTAATCTGATGCTCACCATTTACTGTAGCACCGCCTTCATCTGCTTTCTTTTGCCTTTAAGTTGCCAAGCTCCGTCTCTGTTTTCACCACGGCTCTGTTGTGATCGAATTATGCCCTGTAGAGTTGCTCTATTGCCTTTTATGAGGCTGCTGCGGTGTCACTGATAGACCGACCTCTGCTCTCCTGGCGGTGCAGCCAACACTCACTGCACCCTGTGTTACCCTGGATGAAAAGAGAGGGCGAAGGGGAACTGAATTTAAACCTGGAAAATTAAACACAACACACAACTCATAAAAGCTTCTTTCCTGTCAGTATTGATGTCAAAACATCTGTGGAGACTCATTCTTCCCACTGACAAGAAGAGAAAGGTTGTCAGGTTATAGACTTGTCTATAATTTATAGATGAAATCGCCTGGTTGAAGACTCCATACATTAATGACAAACTGATTATTGTTGTTTTTGTTTTGAACATTTTCGGGCAACGTGATGGACGAAGTCAAGTTTAAAAAAAAAAAACAATAAGCTCTGCTGCACCCCTAAAAATAAATAAATCATCATCAGATTCAGACTCGGAGTGTGCAGCCAGGTGTGCTGGATCAGGTAAGATATAGTGGGAGAAAATACTGGCGTTGGTGACACGCTGTTGCAAAGAAACAGACCAAGCAGATACAGTGGTGTTGAAGTAAAATAAAATGGCATTTATATTTATATTTATGACAGTGAAAAGATGTTTTATATTTTTGTGAGATCTCACAATTTGCTCCAAGTTTGATACGAGATACAAGTTCCGGTGAAAAGAACATGGAACCTGAGAAAAACACTCACAAGATCTCGCAGAAAAAGCTGAAACAGTTTCAAAAACCAATGTCAGATGTCCTCACTTCTTACCAGCGAGTGTCATTAGCTTAAAGATTAGTTCATAAAAACAGACAATTCCTAAACGCTAACATTTATGCTATCTATTCTTCTCCTGTCGCCTTGAGCAAAGACCTTGTAAAGATATTGATGAATTTTTTTTTTTAAGCTCTGCTGCACAAACCATTTGAAGAACTAAACCTTCAGCGTGAGAACCAACTCTCACTTTATGTCTTGTTAACATTACTGTTGAGCTGCACTCTTCCAGCTCTGATCATTTCAACACAGTTAAACATCATGTCCTGCTGTAACTGGCACTACTGCTCTCTGTGCTGCCTGCAAATTTACATGTACTTTGCAATTCAGCCACACACACAAAGTGCATTTCTACACATAAATGCACAGAAACACAGGCACAGTCGGCAGTAAGTCCAACAGATAGAGCGAGCAGCGACTATACAAACAGGCTGGTTAGAAGCATGTCGTCTTAATTAGGCCTGACAGCTTCCTCAAAGAACATGAATAAAGAGCACGGAGCTGCAGACCTGGACTCATACATAATGGTGCAGTGTTAGGCAGAAGAAGTAGGGCCCACACTCCAGACACATGTAATTAATGCACGTGTTAGAGCATCAATAGCACAGAAGCGGTGTGTGTAAAAATGTGCGCATGAATAAAAAAGTAATTGCTGTCAGACAGTACTGCGTCTTCGCCTGTGTACTATACTGAATACGCTTGTACGCCAGAGGAAAAAAAAAATCAATTTGCTATTTTTCTATTGATTTCTCCACTTTATTTGACATGCGCTAAAAGCGACACAATATTTGCTCCATTGTGTTTCCGCTCTTTTCAAAGCTTTCAGAAAAAGATGCCTTTCTCCAGCTCTCCTGAATCGCAACCACCACCGAGTCGTGGCCTTTGATTTTCATCACTCGTTATCAGTTTGACCACAAGGTCCTTGTGTGACTTACCTTTACCAGGCAGGCTTCCTTGCGCTTTCACCAGCGTGTCTCTCCTAATAGTCATATGCTAGTTTCCAAGGCAACTAACCAGGACCTTTGTCCAGACAGGGATGACAGGGACTGTAAAGGAATGAAACACAGGCTTATTATATGGAACATCTGAACATCTGATTAAGTCACCACTTTTGTTAAATGAAGAGCTGGCTGCAACAACACCGCTTCAAAAATTAAAACTTTTTGGAGTTACAGTTGCTGTTTTTGTCTTGGATATTTTAGGATAGGCTGCAGCTCCCCCAGAGATAAAAAAGAGAGACTCCATATCTTTTTTCCCGGGGTGATTTTCTCCAAGTTTGCCCCATTAATGTAATGTGAGAAATTAGAAGCTTACAAGAAGTGAAAAAGAAAAGCAAAACTCAGTGGGCCAGCACTAAGAGAGAACACGGCTATCATCAGTTGTCTAATTAATCTGTTGGCCCAGTGATGTCCAGGGAGCAGGGGGAGGGGGAGGCGGAGAGGGAGGGAGGGCTGAGGATCTGCAGTGACAACAGCAGATAAGAGCGAGAATATAAATTTCGGTCTCACAGTTTGTCACTGGAGAGTTAGATATAATCCTGTTATTTTGAGCAACAGTAGGGGGACAATTAAAAGGAAGGCGCTTTACGAGATTCAGACATTCCTGAGTTATTTTGTGTCCGTTCACACAAGGGCCACGACACTTCTGTGACTTATAACAGCCACTTAATTTAGCCGGGACTCCTGTGGGCTGTTATGGAAGTGTAGGGGTGAGAATGATTTTTTTTTGTTCCTGCCCTAATAGTAGTACTGTTGCTCCCCAAAAGAGGGCGATGTTTCCTGCTTCTCCTGAGGGTAAACTTCATGCTGGGGCCTCTGTGTCTTCAGCAGCTTAAAAAATAAAATCAGGTGACCCTCCCAAATTTATCCATGAATTCCAGCTGTCACCGCCCCCTGACGTCAACATGAGTCATCCCCAAATCTCTGCTTCTCTTCCCCCACTCTTTATTTAAATTGGACGTGGTATAGGGAGAACACTGGTGTCACTGCAGGTGCTGGATTTGCTATTCGCCTAATGAGAACACACACACACACACACATGCATACACACCGCGTTTTAGGGTTCCAAAAATGGCTTCAGACAAAGAGTTAAAATCAGTGTTGATTAGCTGCTGCCACGCTCTACCAAATTTACCAGTAAACAAACTTTTCGACAGGAATTTTTACTTCCCAAACAAACTCACATTTTAATCCAATGAAGCTAAGATCACACACAGGGCAAAACCAGGAAGAGCCATTAGTGAGGCCAGACCTGTTGCAGTTCAGTGTGTGTTTAATGAGAGTGAGAGAAAAGGGATGCTGCTGGCAGCTCAATTGCCCTGCTGTTGTTGAACGACAGCTGATAGCTGATATCCAATCAGATTCAATTTGCAGGGGATGTTTTCATTATGCTCGCGGCATCAGTCAATATGTCTGGCCTGGTTCCTGCTCAGGGAGATAACATTTTTTGTTCCGGTTCTCTGCCGTCTTCTGTCGCCAGAACTTTAACCGTAAATACACAGGAGTCCAATGTTTGGTTTTTTTTTTTTTTGGGGGGGGGGGGGTTTATCCCCAAACGTCTGACAATATACATATTTATAGACACATTTTATATGAAAAAAGGCATGAATACTCACTTCAAACTTATAGTAATATAAACTCCTCTTTAAACTATGCAGTTAATTAATCACATACCTTTGGGAAAATGCATATTTTTTACATTAATCTCGTGAATTCAGTAAAACAACAGATATTTAAATACAACGGTTAATTTTTTAAGTAGAAATATCCAAGTTCAAAATACTTCAACTGAGGTAAAAGTCCTAAATCTGATCTCTGTGGTCCTTTTCTCCCCTGTAGACGACCACGTAAAAAATTGACAGAAATCATAAAAAATTCTCGTCAAATTATTTTTCATACTAAAAATGAAAACTCCCTATGAGTTTTCCTGGACTGAAATGATCAAGGACAGAGGGACCAGTCCTTCCTTCATACTAACACTAATTAAAAAAAGGGAAACCGTCTGTCAGGCGGTTGAGGCTGTACGGCTACCTTCCATAATTTAAATCTAAAAATATCACATGCGTGAGCGAAGAGAAAAGGTAAAGCTGTATAAAAATGGATGCGTTCTCCAGGTTTTTTACGGTAGATTAGGGAGTCGTAGTCCTTCAGTTTCCGTAGAATAACCTCAGTTTCCCTGTGATGAAGTCTTAAAGATCTGAGGGGCATCGAGAGACATATCTAAGAGAAGGGAGTTCAGTTTTTATTCATGTTCCTTCCTCTATCTTTTTCATGTGATCTGCAGCTTCAGAGTGAGGAGGGAACGGGAGAAAGGGAAGTGTTTTCCCATAGAAATGAGTGGAGTCAAAGTCGACTCCTCAGTGGGGCAGAGCCTGTCACTGCAAGGTTCAGAACATTCCTCTATGCAAAACAGCCAAAAGCCTCGCAAATCGCTTACTCGACTCCACTTTGAACATCAGGGAAAACTTCTTTGAAAGCAGGTCAGGCTTTTCAAATGTTGGGAATATTTTAAATCAGTCCAACATGTAAAAAGAGGGAGGGAACAGGTTAAAAGTTGCTTTTCTGTTGGGAAATCTATGGTTATTTTTATTTGTTGGTCCGTTTTAGTGTTCTTTATCAATGACAATCTTTGTCCGGATTATTGGCAAGCAATTTGGAATGAATTCATCATAACCACAAGCCTGCTCTTATAACACACAGTCACACTCGCGCACACACACACACACACGGTTCTCATATGAGTCACACTCGCACACACACACACACGGTTCTCATATTCTGGAGGACAGCTGCAGGGGTGTGGAAGCCTTGGGAAAATGGATCATGGAACCAGGCCAATCAACTTCCTCTGTAGCCAGCACCTGTTTGACTGTATCTGCTGCTGACAATTTCACAATATGAAGTGATTATGAAAATATACTGCAACTACAGACAGACTGCCATTACAGATGTTGCAGCATGTTTTTCTAATGATGAAACCCTCGCCTCTTTTATGTTTTTTTGTTTCAGCGTATGTGTTTGTCACTAAGCTGTTCTTCAACAAAGATTATGCAAATGTGAGTATATTACATATCCTGCCCTAATTCACTAAACCCTGCTGTAATTAAGACACACCCCCACAATGAAGAACACACACACCCAGTCTGGTTTCCATGAGTTTGGAGGACTTCATACAGACATAAGGCCTTTACTAACCCTTTACCCTGAATCTCAATCTTTATTCTAAACCAAACCTGGTCTTAATTCTAATCTTAAACCTAAACTAAATCATGAAGATCAAATTATCCGCTTTCCTACTGGGATTTACAGTTTATTAAAAAAAAGTCCCCATCAGGGTAGCTTTACAACACAGGCTGATGTTAGGGCATTTGTGGGTCTGTAACCTTAATAAAACTTTGATTGTTTATTTAAAATTTTGAAAAATAATTATAAACTAGCCTCAAATAAACATTGCATTGCATTCAGTGACACTCATGACTTGAGAGAATCATTGTCTGGTTAATACGTTTTCAGAAAAAAAGATTCTTAGAAACAAGGTCCTGTAACACGTTCAACTGTTAAGGAAATGGTCCTATAAAAGTTACAAAAAAAAGAGTACACACGCACACAATATAAATAAAATCAAGCATCAGACCGAAATATTCCCTCGACCAAGAAAAGAGATGAAGAGAAGCTGTGACAGTGACGGTTCATTCACCTTGACGTTTCTTGTCACTCAAATGACAGGAAGACATTTGCGCACGTGTGTGTGGGCTTGTAAAAAAGAAAGAGATGCTGTGCATACATGTTGAAGGGTGTGCATGTGTGTACCAGCTTGGGGGGGAGGGGGGGGGGGGGGATCGTCTGAAGCGGCCCGGGCAAGCATCAGCACTCAATCATCCCAGATCTGCCAGACGACACCAGCAGAGAAAACACATTACCCGTGTCTTGTCGCCTCGTCTGCTTCTGTTGTCTTCTCTTTATTATATTTAGGGCTGCCTTGCCTGAGGGTCAGGTGACAATCTGCATTTCTACAAGTTTTCTTAAAACTGTCTGGAGTTTTTTGTTTCATTTTATTTATTTATTTATTTGTTTTTCCCATTTTATTTTTGTTTACCTCTCTGTTTAAGCAGTGAAGTTGATGGGTTTTAATCCCTACATGAGTCCCTTTACAGATGACTCTGCTGGCATGGTGTCAGACGGAAACTAACAGAGAGCAGCGCTTTGCATTAGATAAAAGAGGAATACGCTCAGGAGGGAGGGTGGGAGAGAGGGAGAGAGGGAGTAGAGGGTAGAGGCAGAGAGCTCATTTAAAGAGCGTGTCTAAGTTTTAGTGGGGAAAAAAAATGGAGTTCTTCATAATGGCAAATAAATATATAAATGGAACACTTAAAAACATTATCAGGCACTTTCATTCGCTCTGCCTTTGTGAGCTGGTTGAGGTGGGAAACAGAAGGGAAGTAAACACATCTGCATATCTGAGTCATTGGTTCCAAGGGGGCTGTTATGGGCTGTCTCTGCGAATCTGTTCTCTGTGTTTTTTTACAGCCCACTAGCAACAGAATCACCTCCCTGTGCTGCTGATGTCAGGTCAGATCTTTAAACTGTCCGGATTTTATTTGATGGAAGTAAATTTGACTTTGAATGTCTTGATTTCAAAGGCTTGGAAATCCTCCTTATTTACCTTGACTTGGCCTTGATCAGCTGCCTCTGGTCTCCATCGGTGGCAGTGAGCGCATGTGTCGCTGCCGCTTACCGTCCAGTTGATGGTAAATTGGCACAGTTGGTGTCACTGTGTGGGCCAAGACCGGTCAAACCCGGTGTCACCACGGTGGTCATCACGTGGACACCCATGTGTGCCAACCTCGAGGCCAGAAGTGAGGATTCAGAGGTACAGCACCACCTATAAAAAAAAAAAAAAAGCACAAAATAAATGCTAACATAAAATTACTGTACTGTAAAAATGCAAAATCTTAAAAAATGCTGCTAGTATTTTTCCTATGTATTTTTTTATGTACCAGTCTGAAACTTTTATTGGGCACGACTGGACATTTCTGTGAAAAACATCTGGGGGGCGCCACTGTTCCTGTTGTATTAAACCAAAAATGGAAACCTAACTATTGCTGTTCCAGAAGACCTGGCCTAACTATTCTATATTGTGGTGTAATAGGGTTAGATTGTTACACTGTGACTTGGTACCTGTTAATTTGGCTCAAAATAAGAAGACACGTGTCCTCCAACATTAGCTAGTTTCCCACAGTACAAATCTGTGTTAGCACTGGCTGCTGTTTACTTGTTTGAATGGTATAGAGTATATACAGAGTGAATCCTATAATACTGTTATGTGCTGTGACGGGATTAAAAAAAAATGTAGTCACTTCATCAATAATGACAGGAATGTGGAGCAGATCATGAAAAAGAAAAGAGTGATGTGCAATGTTTCCTTTTTCAATGTATGTTTTGCCTGGACTGCTGCTAACCTTGAGATCCTTTCACTCATCTCTAAAAGTGTGTGTGTGTGTGTGGTCAAGGAGAGGCCGTCAACCTATGGAATAAACCTATGTAATAGAAATTTCTATTCTGCTCCGTCAAAGTGAATCAAACAAGGTTTACAATAAAGGAGGACCCCAGGGTTTTTTTTACTCCCTCCTGTCATAACCCTCCCCCCCTGCACCTCCTTTCTGCCCCCCCCCCCATACACAAACACACATAAACACATATTCACACGGACTTCTTTATGACTTCCACTCTCTATCATATGTCCCCAGTGAGGAGGGGTCACCATGGTAACTTTATTTTCTGCAGCCACATGGAGGGGATGCTGTGATTAGGTCTCGACCATAGTTTATTGATCCACAAGATTTGGTGCTGTTTCAAAGAAAGATATTCCCTGTTGTCGAGAGTCTGGATCAATGCAGAGAAATCCCTGAAAACAAACTGGATGATTTTGTCCTCCTGAGATATTCACACACTTTATGGCCAGTGCTTAAATGATATTTCTGTACCGCTGGATATATTTGTGTGTATGTGTGTGGATATATAAAGTATAAACATCATGTGTATGACATGCCTGTGTGTGTGTGTTCTGGTGGTTATGATTTTGCAGCAGATATAATTCATGATCTTAGGGCAAAAATGTCACACCATAAACCTGTCTTTGTCAAATTTAGAGAGGTTTTTTTTCTTTTTTTTACTTCACATTGACATAAGACATTTAGAGAGCTTTTTTTTACTTCACATTGACATAAGTGTTCCCTAATTATATCTGCTATAAATACATGCCTAATCTTACTCCTTACTTTAAAACTAATCCAACCCTAATTCCAAACTTGATCTCGAACCTCGACAAAAACCGTATCCCCACAACAACAAAAACATTGTCCCCACGAGTGTAGCTGTACAAGATACACAGCTACACATGTGGGGACATTAAAGATCACTACGTTAAAGACCATCATATATTTTCATTACATAGACATAATGATTGTGTATTGTTATTTAATCTATTTAAATAATTCATTCACTATGTTTTTTTTTTAAATGTACCTCGTGTAATTAGTTTATATGATGGTCTGTTAGCCTGAACATCAACAACTATGTAATGAATTTGTTAATTACATGGTGTGACCTACTTATATGTATTGCTTAATATGCACATTTATGAAATTCTCAATTAAACCATTCAGGAATGATGGGTCATTTTGCAAGCGGTCAACTTTGCTATTTTAACAAGAAAAGCTGTTTTAAAGTCGTTATTTATTTATGTATTTATGTTTTACCCTACTAATAAATAAATCTATGAAGTTCCAGTCGATTATGTCTCTCTCTGTTGAAATAATAGTTAAATCAAATTAATTAGCTACACATGACTACTGATGACACATGACTTGTCATTGGTTCAACAAAATGTCAGTTACCTAAAAATAATCACGGCAAATAATAAAAAAACAAAACAATCATGGAATCATGCCAACTGGGTGTGTGGAATGTTCTTTCACTTTGCAGCAAGACTCTCCTTATACAGCATCAACGTCAGATTGACCTTCCGTGTTTCCTCCGTGAGTCTGAATCTGCTGAATTTGTCATAATTCTAATTTAATGTAAAACTGTAAAGATCACTAAGGCAAAATGTGTTTTGGGCAGAAATAAAATTGACCTGACTTGACTTGGGAACACATTTGTGTCTTACGAAGACATCCATCAAAACAAACAGGAAAAACACAGTAAGGTAGTCACATTTCTCTGCTAGTTTCCTTTGGGGGTTATCACCAGGAAATCATCAGCAGCACACTAGTCCTTATTGCAGAAGCTAAAGTCCATTTCTACGCTCCTTTTATTATTCTTTGATTCTTCTCGGCATGCAATGCTTACTAGGAGAGGTCACTGCAAACAATGATCCACAGGAAGTAAAAGCATCCACAAAGGAAGGAGCTCTTCGCATATCAGAAATGAACCAGTTCCCTGGTGTAGTGTCTACGTATTCTCTCTGGTATTAATGTGAAGTTCTTCTATGAAAATATAGATGTACTGATAAAGTTTTAGTAGTAGTATTGTTGAACAATATATTCACCTCTTTGCTCGCCTTATCAGCACTCTGCCTATCATGTTATCGTAAAGGGGAAAGTCCACCCACAGGAAACGTTACAGTTCACATACAGTATCTACTTTTAGTTCAGTCACCAATTTTCCTTTTCAAACTAGGCCGCAACTTCCTCATTGCTGATTTTCCACGCCTCTGTCGCTTTTTCTTTTTTTTTTTTCCGAACGTTGCGTCACAAGGTTGTGGTTTTCTCACTACACACACAGTACACAGGAAGTGAGTTGTGGCAAAACAGGTCCCTGTCACTGTTTCCACTCCTCACTGAGGACCACAGAGACGGATTTATACCAATAACCAGATCACAGGTGCCCAAAATACCCACTTCTAAATACACAGGGTTTAAATTTAAACACTCTGAGCTATTTTTACTTGTTAACCATGTTAATATACTTATGTCTGGGCTGAGGTTAAGTTCACCGTGTGACGCAGTCAGTCGCAAAAGAAAACAGCCTGAGCCAATTAGTGAGACAACTTCACTGTGCATGATGGCTACACCAAAAAAGTCAGTTTGGAGCTCATCTGACTGAGTCTCAGATGAGGTCATCATTAATCAGTTTATTGGATTAGATCTTTCCTTTAGCTAAAGCTCTCAACTGATGCCTGTTTGTATAACATACATGTCATAACACCACACCAGGTGTTTGAATCAGGCCAACACAACGATACAGGTCAACACAAGGCATCAGGCTAACATAAGGAATCAAGCTAACAGAATGATTCAGGCTAACACAAGGACTCAGGCTAACACAATGATTCAGGCTAACACAATGAATCAGGCAAGAACATTGACTCAGGTTGACACGATGACATCACATAAGAGGAACTGAAATGTCTGCCTTGTCAAGGGGTTTTACGCCAACTATCATGTGTTATTGGAAAACAACATTGGAAAAACAAGGTATAGTGACCAAGTTACCACCATGTCATGTCCCTGCAAGGTCTAGTCTCGTTACATTCATCAATTCAGCTGAAGGTGGGTTGAGCTGTCAATCACAGGGACATATATGGAGACAAATTAGCATTCACACTGGGGTCAATTAGGAGAGAACAACTAACCTAAGCCTGCATGGTTTTGGAATATGGGAGGAAAATGGACCAATCAAACAAAAAAATCCACACACAGAGGAAGAAATGTAAAACTAAGTCTTTCTAGATAGAAAAGCTCATGTCTGAATACTTGTGCCACAATCACACTCCCCCGGTTGTTTCTACTGTTGTACCTCTGTAAACACACCGGTGAGGATGTGATGAGGCTTAGGGTGAAACAGATTAACTCTTACTGTCACTAGAAGTAAGTGAGCCAAAGGGCCAGCTATAAATAGGCAGATTTACTCCACCCCACTACTCAGAGGTCGGTAAGAGATCAGACCCTGTAGCGCAACTTTAAGACCAGGGTCAGTGTGTTACTATGGTGACATTGCAATAGCTGTGCAAGGAGTGTGAGTGTGTGTGTGTGTATGTGTGTGTTTGGCCCTTTCAACACACACGTACACTCATCTTACACACATACGCACACACATATCTCACCCCTGTTCTGCTGTGTCCTGTGTGTCTCCAGCAGCAGCGGCGGCAGCAGCAGCAGTACTCTCCCAGCTCCTGCAGAGAGGGAATGTTGGGTAACAGAACTCTGGAGTTCCCCTGGAACGGTTCCAGCCCTCCTCTCCCACAGACCTGCCCTCCTTCTTCCCTCTCATCCACCCGCTTCCCGTTCTTCCCTCTAGTTCTCTCAGTTATAAGGGATACTGTATGTGCGATGTGCTTGGCTATACACACACCTAGAACTGTTTTTATTCATCCACAGCAGGCCTCTCGCCTTTTTTAAAAGAAAAAACATTTTTCCTGTTTTCAACAGCACCTTCGCCTAAGTACTGCTCTCCAGGCAGTATTTCCGTCCGACTCTCCAGGGTTCAATCTCCCTATTAAACCATTATGTAGAACTGATCCGAAGTCAGTCTCTGCTGTCTCAGCACCTCCTCACTTCTGCTCTGACTCATTTTCTCTGGTTCCCCGTTTTCAATGAGAAATTGAGACAGCTTTCAAAACAATGTGTGTCTATTTATTGCTCTGGCCGAGCTTAGTCAGAATACCATCATCAACACAAGAGCAACACCACCACTACAACCATCATCACCAACATCATCATCATGTCATGGAAAACTGTTGAGAAATGTGTGATGAAACAATTCACTATTAATGTCAGAATCACACCAAGACCACATTAGAGACTAATACGTATTTTGGTCAGATCCAGCCCATATACAGACACTGACCTCTGATGTCATCTTACGTCAAAAGAATAATGAAATGCATTAAACAACTTAACACATTTGAGGTGAGCGTTAGACGAGACGTGTATATTAGAACAGTGGTTCTCAAACTGTGGTACGCGTACCACTGAGCTCTCTCTAGGGGTACGCGGAGAAAATTTGTGATATTATGAAATAGGATGTCTGGTCTTTTTATTTATTTACTTGTTTTTTTGGTGCAATGCAAGTCTGTTGCTCACGTAAGCACAGGCAACACGGAATCATGGAATCACTTGCAAGTTGAACGTGGAACGAGCAGGGGAATTCTAATGTTGGTCATCATGGTGGTACTCAGAGAGCTCAATGTTTTCTCAGGTGGTACAGAGTATAAACAGTTTGAGAACCACTGTTTTAGAAGATATATTGGTCACTCTTTTATATTTGGGCCTATAAAGGCTTAGCTTTTATTTGAATGTTGGGAGTGTGGCATCACCTTCACGCCAACATGGAGCTGAAGGGACAATAATTAGGACGGAGCAGAACAAGGACAGATTGTTGAAATAATGTGAAGATTAACAGCCACTAACTGACAGAAAAGAGAGTTAGAATGACAACGTTGGTGAACTGACAAACTGTAGGTGTGTGAAGGTGATGGATGTCAATAAGGTGGTACAATTACAGAGAGGATGTGTTTTAGCATGTTTACCTGCACCCACTCCATTCAAACTGTATGCCAGAGGAACAAGCTGCCACACGCTTCCACCACAAAAACACACAACAGTAAAAAAAACTCACCCTGTGTTGCACCCAGCGCTGACAAAGCGTTGCGTCACAGTTTCCGAAACCACTCCTTCCATTTTTGCATCACCTTGCATGCAAGGAAAACACAAATGTCATTATGTCTGTTTGATCTGACAAGTCATACGCAAAACAAAACTAGATTGGCAGTAAAAGTTTAAAAGTAACGCAATGAGAGAGGATATGGGTTCAAGAACAAACATTTCCTGTGTATTGTTTTTCAGCAGACACAAAAAAAGAAAATCTGTGACTGTTGAAAAATATTTTCCATATTTCAGATAACATAAAAAAAGACATCTAACGCATGGAACCACAGTTACATCCTGTTTCCTACTGTAAAAGCCATGCAGAAATGAAACATAAAAAAACTAAAACTCAGCTCTTCTAGTAACTTCCCACAACAGCAAATCAGGCTCAGAATCTTCATATAATTATAAAGGTTTTAAAGAAAATTGTGGTAATTTTAAACAGTCATAGGAGACAGAAGGAGGAGATGAAGATGAAGTTTGTAGCCCCACTGCTGTAGCAGATAAGTGACTTAAATTAGAATGAGTTTATTTGCCTGGCTGGCCTTAAACAAGACCACAGAGTCTAGGATGTCTGAGCCACAGTCACTGCATGAGAACCAAACACAGACAACTTCCTCTCTCTGCCCATCAGCTGCACTCCTCTTTGGGTTTTTTTCTTTTTCTTTTTCTTCCTCCTTTCACTCTTGCCTTTGCTCTCAAACTCAGACTTGTGATATCACGGAGCAAAGGATGTGATGTCACTTCCTGTTTGGTTTTCAGTCCCTGCCAGTGACTACAGAGAGCGGCAGCTTGCTGACAGCTGTGAGCAGAGCTGGAAACATGCAAATAAACACACAGTCAAAGGTCGAAGCTCACTTCTGAGCTGCCGGCTGAAGCCACACTGATCATGTTTCACTTTGTTTTACCTTAAGTTAGTTGTCCAAGCGGAGTTATGAACAGATTTTAAAGTTTTTACATTACACAACAACAAGGCCCCACGGCAGGGGGACGGTGCTAGTCGACTTATTTACTCCAAACTATACTCTGTATCATCTCATCTGCTGAGAAGAAGAGCAGTAGAGAGAGACTATTTCCTTCTCCTCATCATCTGTCGCTGGTTGAGTCTCCTGGTGACAGACAGGCAGGCACTGTGACATCCAGGCCTGGTAATAGAAGGCAATTATAAGCCCTGGCGAGAGCTGTGGCAATGGGGAAAACTTTTATACAGCCCCCCTCCTGGGGCGCTGACATGCAGACACACTGAAATTAATTGCTACAAAACATCAGACGAGCTCGACACACATGTGCATAGTCTAACTGGCGGAAGGGAGAAGAATGAAACAATATACATCATGCGTCGCCGCATTGATGCTCGTGAGGAGGAAGAAGAAGAAGAAGAAGAAGAAGAAAGAAAAGGCAGCGAAAAAACAAGTAGATCCCTTCCAACAAATCATGTTTTCATCTAAATAAAGAAGCCAAAGACAATAGACTCGGGTACCTTGGAGACCAGGAGGACTATTTCTCCATGGCAACCAGTGTGGTGTGTGACAATGCCGCAGTGCGAGGGTTTGAACTGCTAAAGCTGTCTGGGAATGCAGAGATAGATGAGGGGAGAGAGGGAGAGAGAGACTCAGAGAGTTAGACCCACGGAGGGCTGTCTGTGCGCTCATAATGAGAACACACACTGTCACAATCCCACTGTGAGAAAAATGGCAGTTCATGACTTTCCAACTCACGTTATTTTCTTCCTTTGACTCTTTAAGTCAATACAGAGTAAAATCTTGTTCCTAACTAAATTATGACACCGAGGCTGCGTGTGTTTCCAAAGGTGTGTGTGTATCCAAATATCCACGCACGTAAACATTTCTCTGGTGTTGCTATGGAGTTGTTCTCCTGTTTGGCTGTTAGAGAAGGCAGCGCCGTGTGGCCTTCGTAGCAGAGTTATTTTAATTGTGCCGTGTATTGTGGCCGGGAGGACGTCAAGCCATACAGTGTGCTGGGCGGATGCTGTCAGCACACTTGTGGATACATGCACTCGTAACAGCCCTTTGGACATGCACATGTGTTTGTGTTCAGTCCGCCGTGAGCTCAGTCTGTTTGGACAGCAAGACAAACACACAGTGGAACAAGTTGGTGTGATCCTTTGTAGCGACTTGTCAGTCTTTCAGAGGTGCTCTATAAAAGGCATCACTTCCTGTTTTATCACTCCTCCCCACACACTAGAGAAAAAAAGGATTTGGCAGTTTAACCCTCAAACCTGTTACACTTACTGTATATTTACATTACATCTTTAGTGACAGATTCACATGGGATACAAAAAAAAAAAACCTCTAACAATTCATTTCTTAGTTATTTTTCTGTTTAAGAAATATTCAAGATTAGAGGAAAGACCTGGGCAAACTACGGCCCGTGGGCCAGATACTGCCCACTGGGCTTCCTAATCCGACGCACCAAACACTGGTACAAAGTATGGTAAAGATTGATGTCAATCCTTATGTTTTATGCATCACAATGAATCAACTGTAACATCTGTCGAAACTTGACAGAAAGTTTTTGTTTTACCCTGCACTCTACTGACCTGCTGTTAGCTAAACCTCACCAGAACAGTTCAGATAAAATCACAGTAGCCAAATCAACGTAATTAAACTAGGGCAGTTGGAATAACAACATGCAGACATCTAGTGGTTTAGAGAGTGTTCATATCGAATTACACAGACATCAGGCCCAAACCACCCATCATGGTTTGGGGCTGGATTTAAGCAAATAATCTTGTCAAAAATATTATAAAATACAATTTCCCGTCCATACAATTTCATCTGGACGTTCGTCATATAATGCAAATAATTTACTAGAACCAGTCATTTTAAAAAGTCCATACAAATGTATCTTGCCAACCGGTCATTACTTCAGTATCTTCAAATATTTACTAGATATCATATTCTCTGCCTTCTGTCTCCGACTCATCCAACAACTCAGGACAGAAACGAAAGACTGCATTCAAATGAAAAGTTCAGACTGAGGTTAGATGATATTTTGTTTTTGGTTGTTAACTATTCACAACTGCGTGTCTCAACACCTTCTCCGTTTGTTTTTCCATATCAGCAGCACCCGACAACCATCAACATGCGATCTCCTTTGTGAGTCTTTAGTTTTATTTGCAATGCACTTTATAGAAATTCATTACTCTGTCTGCCGCCGACGTAGGCAGAAAAATATTCCCCCAGCTCAATTGAACTCTCACCCTCCTTTAATGTAAACACCGCTCACCAGTCACGTTTCTCCCATTAAGGTAAACGTCTGCATTATGTATGAATATTGTCTCCTTAATCCACTCATACCATTAACCCGCACACCCCGTCTTTCCAAGACTTTGCAGAAGGCAAATGGAAGACACACAACTCTGACCTCTGTTAGTGTGAAGTAGATAATCTGTATTTAAACGGTTAGAGCAAGTTAATTACTTATGACTATTATTCATGGTGATTTTTTTTTTTTATCTGCCGCAGAGTTAAAGTTTAACAAGATCCTCTGGTGACAGCTGACCTGAAGTAGAAATTAGCCCATAAAACCTTAAAAAAAAAAAACTGTCATCCTATTAACAAAATGTTTCTGACAGTTATTCACTTATTCATTCCTGCCTCCTCCAATTCCTCGCTGTTTTTCACTTAGGAGCGTTGACAAACCCATGTCGTGATTTGTATTGTTTGTCATCTCGTCTCTGCCTCGTCAGCCGTCATTCCCGTTGACACAC